CTTTGGTATTTTAAAATGCAGCATTAGGTTACCTCAAAAAGATGGTTACACAGGAAATTCATTTCTCTGAAGGTTCTAGATAATTAAAAATTTTATTTTTTTAAATGTTTTTATTCATTTTAGAGAGAAAGGGAAAGGGGAAGATAGAAACATCAATGATGAGAGAGAATCATTGATCAGATTTCTCCTGCGCCCCCCACCGGGGGCCCTCACTAGAGGCCCTCATGGCAGCTTCCCTCAGGGGGTTGAACCTGAAACCTGGCCACGTGCCCTGACCTGTGGGATCAGGCTTGAACCTGCAACCTTCTGCATGCCAATGCTCTAACCACTGTGCAACATTGGCCAGGGTTAGCTTTGGTATTTTATTATTATTATTATTATTATTATTATCTTTTAGAGAGAAAGGGAAAGGGGAAGATAGAAACATCAATGATGAGAGAGAATCATTGATCAGATTTCTCCTGCGCCCCCCACCGGGGATTGAACCTGAAACCTGGCCACGTGCCCTGACCTGGAATTGAACTGTGACCTCCTGGTTCATGGGTTTATGCTCAACCACACTGGCCAGGCTAAAGTTTTATTCTTAAAAGTGGTTCTTGCCTATTCCAAGATTATTTCCCTTGAGCCTGCATTTCTCTTACCATCCATTGTCTTCCCTTCAGTGTTAAACTTCTTGAGAGAGAGAAATCCATTCATGCTTCCTGATTTGTTACTTCTCATTTTTTGCCTTAATCTCTTACCAGTAGGCACAATACTCAAATTAGTCTGTTCTCTTAAAGCTTGACCTAAAGGCTTCTTCTCAACACTCATTCTGCTCTCACCCTTTCTCCATACAGATACTGCTGATCATCTTCTTTATCTTGGAAGTCTCCTATCCTTTCTTCTTGAATTCTCCTCTTTGGAGTTGCCATGCCGCCACACACTTTAAGTTCTCTTCCTGTGTCTGGACTTCCGTGACACATGGCACAAGTTCTCTCCAGTGCCTCTTCCTAATTTCTTTTGCAACCCCCTATTAAGACTTAGGCAGCAGTCAATAAATGTTAACTTCTTTTCACTTCCAAGTTGGGTCTTGCCCCTCTATCATCCTTAATTAATGGTATCCTCAGTTTCTTAGGCAAGAAACCATAGTCATTTTCAATGCTACCTCTCACCCTGATGTTTTTCTTTCTTTTTAAATCCTCACCCGAGAATATATTTTTCATTGATTCTAGACACAGATGAAGGGAGAGTGAGAGAAAGAACATCAATGCGAGAGAAAAATATCAAATGGTTGCCTCTAGTATGCACCCCCACCAGGGACTGAACCCGCAACTTGGGTATGTGCCCTGACTGGGAATCAAACCTGTGACCCTTTGATGCACTGGACAAT